TGGCATTCAGCAGAAGGGAGATGATCCAGAGGATATAGCAGGCAGGGAGGGCTTCCTGGAGGAGGAGCCCTGAGTGGAGCATCTCGGGTCCTGGGCGTCTGCTGTCCGTGCGTGGGCGCCTGGCACTGCCAGGAGCGCCCTGAGCTGACGGTAATCGTGACTGTCCCTTGCTGTCCGTAGAGTGCGCTAGATGTTGGACCGCGTATGGAATCCGCCATTTCCCCTGCCCGTCGCCAGAGAGCAAGCTGCAGAACCCCTGTGTGGGGAAGGCCGGGGAAGGTGATCTGGGGCCGGCGGGCACGCCTATTGTCCCAAGGGCCAGGAAGCGAGGTACTTCACTCAGACGCTGGGTCTGGGGGGTCCTGGGAAGGCGGCTTGGAGATGCAGGTGCGGAGGAGGGCGGGGTCAGCAGGCAGGAGCTGCAGGGAGGAGGCTGGGGCCAGGAGGTGAGGGGCTTGTGTTCCCTGCCCCCCACCAGGCCTTCCCCTGAGTAGGGCCAAGGGTGCAGCCAGCCCAGACAGGCCACAGGGTGGAAGTTGCATGGTGGCCAGAGCTGGCCAGCCCTGTAGGGTCAGGACTGAGCAGGGCTGCTCCCGCGGGGGGCTTTGGACCTGCTCATGTGATTCCTCACCCCCAAGCCCTATCGTTCTTGTGCAGTGGGCTGGCGAGGGGTGGCAGGGCGCTTGGTGTGGTTTGGGGAAGAACAGGTGCGGTGACCTCTGTGGGTGTCCTGGTGGGCTTCCCGCGTGGTGGAGAGGCCCCTCGAGGTGCTTCTGGGATGCCAGGACCCTGGGGAGAGGCCTGCACTTGAGTGCTCCTCCCTGAGGGCTCAGACGTGCCGCACCAGGGAACCTGCGGTGTCGGGCCCTGTCCCTGCCTTCAGGAAGCTGGTCGGGTTAGTGAAGACGCTCGTGTGTGAGCAAAGACGCAGAGACTTCCCACTGTTGCCAGCGCAGCCCCGTTCCCTTGCAGGGTGGAGGCAAAGGATGGCAGGGGGGTGAGGCTGCCGACCAGACCACCACGTCACCACCAGCCTCGGCCCAAGTGCGGGAGGGGAAGCTGAGGCTGGCCACCACGTCCCCACCAGCCTCGGCCCAAGTGCGGGAGGGGAAGCTGAGGCCGGTGCTCAGGGGCTCTTAGTTGTGCTGTGGGCAGGTTGGCAGGAGCCTTCCAAAATGTCAGCTGGAAGGTTGTCCCCAAGCGAGGGCTGACCCCAGGAGCAGCCCAGCCCTGGCCTGAGGGCAGGAGACCCTGGAGAGGGTCCAGGGCTACAACCTAGCCTGCCCGACTCCCGCACCCCTGTGGTGGCTGCAGGGGCAGGCAGGGCTAGTGGTGTGCCGTCTTGGAGATGGGGCACTGTGACCCCGAAGCTACGTGCTTGCTGACGGCACCTGGTGAGGCAGTGTCAGGGCTAGGGGATCGTGGGCCGAGGTCTCTGGACACCCAGCAGGGAGGGGTGGTGGCCAGGACCAGGCAGCCATGTCCCGAAGCAGAAACCAAAGAGGAGGTGCCCTAGGGAGCTGCTGCTGGAGCCGCTGCCTCCACAGGCCCAGGGCCTTAAACGTCCACCTTTTGGTGCCTTTCCAGGGCCTGGGGTTGCCCCTGAAGGCAGCCGGATGCCGGAGCCCACCTCATCGCCCACCTCATCACCCACCACTGGCCTGAGGAAGGACTTGGCCGCTGGGCCCCATGGCCGCATGGCGGGGCCCACCTCATCGCCCACCACATCACCCACCACTGGCCCGAGGAAGGACTTGGCCGCTGGGCCCCATGGCCGCATGGTGGGGCCCAGCGCTACCCGGGCCAAGAAGAGGAAGCCTAACTTCTGCCCGCAGGAGACCGAGGTGCTGGTGTCCAAGGTGAGCAAGCACCACCAGCTGCTGTTCGGCACGGGGCTGCTGAAAGCCGAGCCCACTCGCAGGTACCGCGTGTGGAGCCGCATCCTGCAGGCCGTGAACGCGCTGGGCTACTGCCGCCGTGACGTCGTGGACCTGAAGCACAAGTGGCGGGACCTGCGAGCCGTCGTGCGGCGCAAGCTGGGCGACCTCCGGAAGGCGGTCCATGGCCCCAGCCCCGGTTCCGGCAAGCCCCAGGCCCTGGCCCTCACGCCTGTGGAGCAGGTGGTGGCCAAGACCTTCTCTTGCCAGGCCCTGCCCTCTGAGGGCTTCGGTCTGGAGCCGCCCAGAGGTGAGTTCCGTGCCCAGCTCACCTCGCTAGGGCACCACTCTGTCCAGCAGGAAGGTGGGGCCCATCTTGGCCGTATCACCCTGCATCTTCCTCCACAGCACCTTCCTCTCCTCCTCTCTTCCTCCTCCTCCTCCTCCTCCCCACCTCCTCCCCTCCTCCTCCCGCCCTCCTCCCCTCCTCCTCTTCCCCCTACCCTCCCCATCACCACTGTCTCATCTGGAGTGTTCTTGTTCATTCATCCTTTGCCCCATGCACTCTTCACTAGTCTATCCACCCACCCATCTGTGCATTCAGCCAACATATATTACATGTAAAGGGAGCATTAGTAAATTTTGTCTCCCTGCTTGGTGGTTGACTTGGCCTCTCCCTCACCCCATCCTAGAGTGGAGCCGAGCTCGCAGATGGGCAGGACAGAGTTCTTCTGTCACTGTCGCCCAGTCACATGCTGGCACCACGGCCGTGGTGAGAAGGGCATTTGCTGTTGCCGCCTGGGGTAGACACACGCGCTGAGAATCAGGGGTTTCTAGCTGTGCTGACGCTCCCCACGGCCACGCGTGCCCGTGTTCCTCCTGCTGCGCCCTGTGCTACTCAGGAGAGAAAAAGCTAGCTGCAACTTACTAAACTGGTTTTCTGGCCTGGGTTTCAGCGCCGTGGTTTGAAACATGCTGCTCTGTTACTGTTTTTAACACCCAGAAGAGGCCTTCCTACAGGCTGGTGCCGCCCCGTGGTGTCAGGGTGAGCAGGTTGAGACCTGGGAGGCAGTGTCTGCTCAGAGCTGGGGCGGGCCTTCTGTGGACCCCGAGGCTGAGGCTCCGGCAGGGTCCCTTTTCCCAGGGAGAGCATTGCTCTGTTGGTGTCTGATGGGTGAGGGAGGTCCGCAGAGGTCAGCGTGGGCCCAGTGTCTCAGCTCCTGCTGTGGTGGGCCCAGACAGGTGCTGGGCATAGGCAGGGCATCTGAGCTCCTGCTGTGGTGGGCCCAGACAGGTACTGGGACAGGTGCTGGGCGTAGGCACGGTGTGCTGAGCGCCTGTGGTGGGCCCCCGGACAGGTACTGGGGACAGGTGGCTGCGGGCGTAGGCAGGCCACGGCCGGTGCTGAGCATTCCCTTGTGGTGGGCCCGGACAGGTGCTGGGACAGAATGCCCGGAACCATTGGCCCAGACAGTGACTTGGGACAGTTTTGCTGAGGGTGCTGGGGTGTGGGTTCGGGGTCGTGGGCAAGTGCTGGCAAGGCACGGTGTCGCTGAGCTCTGTGGTGGCCCGCAGGACAGGTGTGGGACAGGGGCGTGGGTTGTGTCGTGGTGGGAGGGTGTGGGGGTGCTCGGACAGTTCCAGAACAGGATGCTGGGACCAGGCGTGCTGGTGTAGGCGACGGTGTGCTTGAAGCTTCACAAAGATGTGGGCCCAGACAGGTGCCTGGGAGCAGGTGGCTGCGGCGTGAGCCACGGTGTGCTGAGCTCTGTGGTGGGCCCGGACGGTAGCTGGGAACAAGGTGCTGGGCGTAGGGCAACAGCTTGTGCCTGACTCCCTTGTGGTGGGCCCCGACAGGTGCTGGACAGATGCCCGGACAGTTGCCCAGACAGGTGCCCGCGGGGACAGTTGCCAGTGGCAACAGGTGATGGGACAGATGCTCGGACAGTTTGCCCAGACAGGTACTTGGGACAGGTGCTGGGGTGTGGAGGCACGGTGTGCTGAGTCCTTTGGTGGGTCAGACAGGTGCTGAGGACAGTGCGGGGCCCGTGAGCACGCGTGCACGTGAGGGGCTCTGACGTGCTGGCAGGAGAAGCCTTGGAAGAGGAGGGGCGGGGGCCTGGTTCCCAAATACTGGAATTTCCAGCTGTGGCGAACGAGGCCTCCATCCTGCTGTGGGCAAGCGCCTGGTTTACCGGTAGGGCCTGGCCTGCGAGACCAAGATATGGTCCCAACGAGCACGGGGGCTGCGGGCGGGCCAACGGTTCCGCGCTCAAAGACACTGAAACTGGGATACAGCCCCAACACCAGCCGGAGTGTGTGGGAGGGGACAGCAGGTGCTGGCTGTGGTGGAAGTTTGCTTGGTGCTCTGGAAGAGAATCTGGAGCAAAGTGCTCCAGCCCCCAACCTGGACAGGCAGACCGTCAGCAGGCCAATCTCTGGCGTGCACGGGTGCTGCAGCCTCTCTGCCCAGCCCCCGGGAATGAGGGTAGAAAGGCCAGTGGCGGTCCGCACCGGGAGCCAGCCGGCTGCTGCCAGGAGTTGGCTCGGCGCCCTTGACTGTTTCAGCTTGAGGAGAGTCTTTTACGGTCCAGCCCTGTCCTCTTGGCCCAGTTGGGGGCTGTGGGGGGGGAGCCCCCTCGCTGGCCGTCAGTTGGGATAGCTGGCCCCAGGGCCTCCCCTTCTCCTGTGTCCGAGGACGGAGGTGCTCCCCATCTCTGGCAGCTGCTGCGCTGGCTTCCAGTCGCCCGGACAGTGGGGTTTTAGCCGTATTGTGGGCGCGGCCGCAAGAGCCTGGGGACTGGGGTGACACAGAGCACTGGCTGTCGTGCGGGTGGTGGGCTGCTTGTCTCTGTCTTTGACATGAACGAAAGGCCTCCTGCTTCAACAGGGATCCGGCGTGAGTTTCCTGTGCTGCCCAAGGCTGGGGGTGCTAGAGTGAGCTGGGTGCTGGGCGCGGGCCACGCTGGGGTAATGAAACGGATGAATGGAGGGAAGGTGGCGACGTCAGAGGCACAACCCCCGTGGTCCTCTATTGCAAAAGGCTGGCCCGGCA